CCTCGCGAATCTAAAAGTAGCAAGCAAAAGGCTGAAGTGGATTAATTGTCTCGGACAAATATTGGGTTTTAGTCTGTTTGCGGTTTTGGAAGGAGTTTTAATTGATTGGAGTGTGTCGCTTCTCCAAGATATAGATGGTTCGTTGTTAGGAGTCGGTTGTGTTTTTATCATATTAATGGATTTATGTACTGCTTTCGAATATTTTTGGTTTTTAGTGACGTGAGGCTTGGGATAGGTGTGAGTGGGTAACAGATAGGGTTGACCTTGTAATATTTGGATGTTTAAGGGGGATTTAGAGATTTTCTGGTTTAGATGTGGTGTATGTATCTTATTGGGGTGTTATTTCATACAAGGTGTAATGATTTTATTATTTAATAAATCATGAGGTACTCTTTTCCTCCTTCTAATTTTCGTTGACATACGTTTTAGTATGTTCATGATTATGAAGGGGGTTTTTAACGAGGCCTCCAATTATTATCAAAAAAAAAAGAAATATTTTTTTGGGAAAATGCCTAAATTAGAACGGAGGTCCCAATTCTCTGAGATTTTAATTTCAGAAACAACTAGATTATAAACAATAATACAAATACCAGTCAAAAGCAAATTATGCAAGAACAATGTCAAACTGTAGGTGCAAGTATATCATGGGACCAGGTTAATAAACATTTGTGTCTGTGTGTGTTTGAGAGAGAGGGAGAGAGACAGACAGAGAGAGAGAGAGTCATGACCTGTCATCAAAAGAAACAGCATAACTGTTCAAAGCAAGTGCACATGAAGTTGACTGCAGAAACAGAATTGCAAGTTATAGGATTATTAAGGATAAACTAGAAAAAAGTATATAATGGGGATCACTAAATCAAAACTTTAGCAAAAATTAATCTCATAAAGAAGTAGTAGACCAGTTCAAGTGTCTGGACAAGGAGAGGTCTACCTGACTATGATAATGAATTGTATTTGCACTAATCACAAGAACACCTCCAATTGGTGATGGAACAGCAAGTAGCTTATAAGCATCATGAGGAAGTTTCTGAAAATAAAGAAATACCGATATTCATAAGAATGGGGTTGGAAAGGACTGTGCACAACCCTCCAGCTAATTTACAAAATACAATTGTTCAGAATTCTACTTTTAGTTTAAACCTCAATTTTTCTATTAAAGATTAGAAAAGAGGAGTTGACATAATGCTATTACAGTATCCATTGGTAAATTTTAATAGAAGTTTGCTTGGTTGAAGTGGAGATTTTCATTTTTCAAGGAATTATGCATCAAATAACCATTTCTCAAATAAAAGCCATGGAATAGGTAACTGCTCAAAAGCACAAACTTCATCTTTGATATATATCCAGAAGCTTCGAAGGGGAGGAAAGAAGAAATTGGTTTATCTTAGCCAAATCTAACTTATAGCGTAGGGTGTGTTGATCCAACTCTTCTTAAAGTAATTGTATATGACACTTGTATCCAAAACAAGTATATTGGGATATGATCTCCAAGGATCATCCAAATACATGAAAAAACTTAGAAAAACCTGAACATGTCAGATACATACCCATATCCAACAGTCTGACCCGAGTCTGAGTAAAAAATATATCAAAGCATTGCTATAGTTGTAAAACATGAATAATAATGTTAAGAAAACATACAGCTGATGACCATATGAGAGGATGCTGCTTCAACGTTGTGCTGATACTAAGTGCAGAAATCATACAAGTATGGTGTTTCCAAGAGACCCTTCCAGCCCAAGTAAGCTCCCGTTCATGAAGGACAACCATCACTGGCTCAATATAACCTAGATATATCATAAAATATAAGTAAAGATCAAGGGAACATAAAGTAGTTCACTGAGACATTATTAATAATAAAATGAAGCCTAGTAGGTTTTCCAACTAATCCAATTTCAAGAAGCCAACATAAGAGTGACAATTTAAATACCCAAGAGTCGTTCAGTTTAACTATAATGCAACAAGGTGAAGAAAGTCCATTTAACCAGTTGGCAAATTCGAGACTGCTAACTGATTTTCCAGAAATGAAAACCAGATATAGGTACACTAACTTATAACAGTGCAAGTACTTTAAAGAAAATCTTAAAAATCTCAAACTTTACCATGCACAAATACAAAATCTTTGATGTGTTTCATGTCCAAATCTCGTAAATTGATAATGTAAGATGATTCAACACGAGCAGAAACCGCAGCTCCAGATCCAAAAGCATCATCATCGCCAACAAATCCAGAACCAGCCTGACAAAGAAAGATTTGATGCCAAGATATGAAGAAAAGAAAATTACAGAGGCCTTCTTAAAGAAGGCTTATAACCTTTTAACTACAGGGATTCGGCAATTTCTTGTGAATCTTTTAACAAGAACAATTAGTTGATCCTTATTCCCATATGTAATGGGGTAAGGGGGAGGTAAGATAGTAGGCTGCCCCCAACGCCAGGTTGAGAGCAGCTTCCGTAGGAGACCTCCGAATTATGAAATGCCCTCCGTGGGACTCGATCCCACGACCCCAAGGTTAAGAGCCTTGTGCTCTATCAACTGAGTTGGATGGTCATTTCAATCTTTTAACAAGAACCTTTTTGTTAAAAGAAATGAAATACTAGATCATTTTCCAGACCAGCCAACAATAAATGTTATTCTTTTATTTTTGTTTTCATATTATGCGAATTATTTTAAGTATCACAATGGGAAGTATTACTCATCCACAGAAATAGGAATTTAAATGTGCACAACTTCCAGAATATAAGGTTTGCAGGAATTACTATTCTCAAGCAGCTGCCAAACAAACGGCAGAACTTTTTATGTCTAACTTAAAAATAAACAAAACCTAGAAAATGTGAAAATGACAGAGATCCATAATGTACTACTCCCTCAACAAGAAAAGGTTTTTCATATCACCATTAGATGTAGAGAACGTAAAGTATGAAATAGTCAAAAGTTCAGGAAGCAAAAGAGACCTGAGCAGCTTTGAGTATTATCATCTGCAAACCATATACAAGAACACCGCTACACCTGCCTTGAGGATCAGCCTTGACCAAAGGGCCTCTTGCAAATGATTCTCTTCCCCTTTTCAAATGAAGCCATTCCGGTCCCTCAAAACAGTGCATTGAGCTGCAAAAGAAATCATCATCAATGAGTAAGTATTAGCTTGCAAAATCAGGAACAGTTCATATATTGTATAAATAGTTCTGAGATAAGAATCAAAACTAGAAGTATGACAAAGAGTCCAGAAATCAGAAAGGTATGAACAGAATTATTCATGATATATCCTTACGTTGTTCGAAGGCCATGAATTGAATCATCAAACTCCAGGACCGAAATTTTGGCATCAAGAAAGGCTAAGATAATTGAATCTCTTCGTCTAGATCCATCACCACCTCCTATAGATAGAACCGCCATAGATTCAACATTACCGTGCAATCTGCAGCAGAATTTTTAACCCCAAAAAAAAACCCAAGGAGAACTACAGCAAGTCAGCAACCTTGATACATTTTGATTGTCGCTTTTGTACTTGGTACAAACAACAAAAAAGTAAAACCATGTTGATTTAAAATGAACGCTATATGAGCAACGAACAAAAATATAAACATAACAGTTGCTTATATAAGTAAAATCAAGCTTTTTTACTCTCCACGAAGGCCATTTTTTCCGAACTAATTTGCCTTTACATCCTAATGCCTGGTTCTAGTTTCGGAAGGCAAGAGAAATGGAAGCATAAATAAGATCGAAGAACAAGCTAAGGAATGCACTACTTATCCAATCCATTGTCAATACTCACTGAACAAACGAACATATAAATTCCAGAAACTCAGAACTACAGACACAAAGTAAAGGCCGAAAACATACACATATTACAAGAGGTTTTATGGATATGGAGGCAAACCTATAACTGCAAACGAGCTCGAGAGAAACGGCGGAGACCCCATCCATAATTCCACCGCGCTTGACATCCGTGGAAGTTCTGGCTTCTCTGCTGCCCTCTTCTTGAACCCTGATTACATACAATTCGAGAACATTAGCGGCAGAGACGATGAGGTTAGGAACGGGACCAATGCCGAGCTTTGAGGGCCAGTCCGATTCAAGATCATCGGTCTGGTTGAGACGAATTTGGGGCGTCAAATCCGCACGGCAGTTAGTGACGAAGCCGGAGGCGCAGTTCTCGATTCCAGTGGGCCAGTGCATCATCTTATAGGCCGCGTAGCTCATTGTCGGAGCAGAGGGTTAGGGTTTGGCGGTTTGAGAGAAGAGAGATGGAGATTTTAAAATGTAAATGAAGCTCTAGTCTACGACTCCTAAGGTGGGGTTTTGCCGTTCAGGCAGTGAGTCTAACGAGGAAGTGAGGAGTCAAAGGCCCAAGTCTTAAACCCCTTTTTATTCATTTGGATAGGGATCTGGGTTCCGATATTATTATAGATGTCCAAATTTCATCTAAAATCCGAACGTCATGCTAATAATTTTTTCTTTACATAAATATGAGGTGTATACAAGACAGCATATCATTAAAAAATTTGAATCATTTGACCATGAATGTTTAATCAACCTACTACCGTTGTTGGTGTTCGAATCCGTGATTTCTAAAAACAACAACGATTCCTTTAACTACTGAAATAAATTGATTCGTGCTCGTTTAATTTAAGGTTATATATTTTAATACATATATATATTTATAAAAAAATTATTTAATAATATCATTTTGGATTGAGTATTAATTATGATTATTATTATAACATTTAGTAGGATATATATTTGAATTGTTTATGGTCCTACGTGTTATAATAAATAGAGATTTTTAAAATCTCCGAGGGGTTTCATGATTTTAGTTAGGAGCTTACACTCCTAGCATTTGTGAGTTCAAGAATAACGCATTGTTCCATAATGCACAAATAAAATTTGCGATTACAATAGCAACAATCTCAATAATTTTTTTCTGATGAAAGGAAGAGAAGATCGAATCAGACTTGTAATCAATTACTTGTTTTTAGTTCTTTCAAAACAAACATAAAATTGGCATAAACGGACACGACGAGCTTAAGCCATTCCTTTAATTGGCAAAGGAAAAATAATGTCCCATTCCATACAAAAACCTGATGTATTCATCAGCCACAAATCACCACTTACTGCAAAAACTCAAATATTGAAGATTGCAACACAGTCAAAATATTGTTTCTTTTTTTGTTCATTGATGATCACTCGAGCAGTTAAAAACATTTTCATAGCTTAGCAAGGTCACGCGAATCACCGAACACCGACCAACTCTAGATCAAACTCAAGCCATGCATTTGGAGGTATCTTGCCGCCGGCACCCGTGGAACCATAACTGCATTTGAACACGATCATGATCGCCGGTTACAAGAAAGTGTTCCCAACATTAATAACAAATTTACATAAGCATACATACCCCATTGCAGGTGGAATTATGAGTTTTCTTTTATCACCAATGCGCATGCCTGTTGCCAATGTACATTCCCGATATATATAAATGCTTTGGAAGTGAATCAACACAAGAACTAAATAAATTGTTAAGTCAGATTAAATATTACCTTCAACACCAACATCCCATCCTTTAATGACTTCTCCTACACCTATAAAACAAACACAGTATTAAAAAATAAATAAACTAATCAAAAGTTTCGTTCCAATAAAAGCCAGGTTTTGGTATTTCATAAGTCTTAATTCCTTGGTACCTATGCGAAATTTAAAGGGGGGCCTTCCCACATTGGAATCGAAAATTTTGCCATTCTTTTGCAGCTTCCCGATATAATGGACACTCACCTGAACCGAAAAGGCAGACTTGGGTAAGAGTCCAACTCAATCCTAATAACATGCATGCAAAATATAGACATAATCTTTGTTGTCAAATTCAGTCCATTCTCTTTTCAGACAATCTTCCATCCATTCCATTAGTTCAGCAAATATCCAAAATTTGATAAAAGAAATCATGATCGCAGAAATCGAAGAAAGCACTAATGTTATTTCTATTAAGAGGGGAAAATAGATCAACTGAAAACTTAATGGAGAAAGAATAACCTGCTTCCCACGGGATGCTCTTTTACCATCTGGTTTGCCCATTGCTAACTCTTGGACAACCAAACCATTTGGAAATGTTCTCACTTGGGATGACTTGCTAGCAGTTGGTTTTTCCCCAGACTCCAAAGTGGAAGTACCCTTATCTCCACTTTGTGTAACTGGTGCATTTGCATCCACCTGATTCTCTTGGGTGGTTTTCTTTTTGTTCTTTTTCTTCTTCTTTTTCTCATAAAGGTTCTCGCAAGGGGTGTTGTCCACGTCAGAACCAACGACCCTGGCAGGTATATACAGTAACATTTTTTAGTTACCAAAACATTAATTTAGCTAAGGGCAACATCTAGAGTTGGCCTTAAATACTAATAAATAATTCATTCATTTCAGACTTCTGAGAGAGAGAAATAGGGAGAAGAGAAAACCCCGGCACCCAACATCATTTCCAAGTTTCCACCACTACAAGACTTTAGATATGCCCATAAAGAAGTAGCATTGAAAATTAAACATGCCCTTGCTTATGTGAAGTTAGATCAATAGATTAAGGAGATGAAAGTAACTTCATATATACCATTTTATCTAAAGGTTTTAACTTAAGACCTCACCTAATCAGTATACTTGTTTATCTTGCGTGTATATTTATGAACTATTATATTTGAGACAATTTTTTTTTTGATAGGAAAGAAAGGCCTCGTTAAAACCCCCCTTCTTAACTAAGGACCTTGTAGAAAGGTCATTAATCATAGGAAGGAGGGAAAGAGTGCCTTGGAACTTTTATTAATAATGAAAGTTACATAATAGTAAAAAATAACACTAAATTGCTTGACATAAGACTGAAACACACCTCCCATCATAAAAACCTACACCCAAAATTAAAAAAAAAAAAAAAAAAAAAAAAAAAAAAAACCTTACAATCACCCAATCCCTTCTTTAGCTAAGATATCTGCCTCTCCATTACACATCCTAGGAATAAACCTAACTGAATGAACCTTGTCACTAATAAGCCTTGAAATCTGAAAAACAATAGGCGATAATAAAATAGGAGCCAGAACCGGTGAATGAATCCATTCCACTGCAGACGAGCAATCACTTTCGACGATCGACCTAGCTACTGCAGCCCACCTAGAAGACAGAAAAATATCCAAGCCTCTTTTAATAGCTTTTAATTCTGCCAGAGGGGGGATTGCTTGACCAATACTCTCGGAGAAAGTCAAAAGAGTGCAACCGTTCCAATCTCTTAATAAACCTCCATATGCAAATACAAAGACAGGCATTGTCTATATACAGTCTCTTCTAACTATAGCATTTTATCTAAAGGTTTTGACTTTTAAACTTAAGACATCACCTAATCAGTATACTTGTTTAACATGCATATAAATTATGACCTATTTTATTGGAGGTGATTTGAAGGGAATATATCATAAACCATTACAACCTTGTGCATATACAAAGATAGGCACCACCCAAAAATACACAAAACTGTAAGAGTACTCACCTATCACTATGGGGATGATCTTGTTTGTTTCCAACAGGCATAACCTGCTCTGGATCCTGGCTCTCTTCCTTCACGGGCTGATCTTCATCATCTGGCAAACCATTGATGGTATCGGTACCCTTTCCCTTTTGCTTCTTTTTCTTCTTTTTCCTAAAAAATTTTGCAAAACAATCTCAAAGTCAATGGATTGAAAATATCTTAACAAGTTAGGCTGCCAGCAAAATGAAAGTAATACAACCAACTGTAAAATCATGTTCAGGAAACTGTTAAGTTGAAGCGTCTCACCCTTCTTGCTGACTGTCTTCATCAATGCTTTTGACTTTTCTTTTCTTTTCACTAAGGTCCTTTCCTTTCCTCTTGTCTTCTTCAGTAGTTAAAGTTTCTGGTTTAGGCTGTTGAATAGCATCTTCGCTTTTGTGTGAAGCAGAAACTGGAAAGCCATCTTCATCTTCAGTTTCCAAATCTGTCTCAACAGCACCTCTCTTGGCAATAAGTTGACGCTGCAAGTTCTTTTGTTCCTCCGAGCCAGTCAATTTATTCTTTTTCTTGGATCGTTTAGATTCCCCATTTCCACATATAGGCTTTTCATCATCCATGATCTCCTCAATTACAACTAAAGTTAATCCAAACAAGAACAGTAAGCAAAAAGCCTGTCAAGTACCAGTAAAAATGCAACAAAAACCCTGTAAATGGAATAATAAGCTTCTAAAAACTATAAGGCAATTTTAAAAAATGAGCAGTGATCAACAAAGTGAAATAAAAAAAAATTATTGATAAAAAATACTTTGGAAATGTGCTCAAAACATACATATTTCACCAAAAATCTAAACTCTCAATACTGAATAATCCTTTTTTAAAAAATAATAATAAGACAGCTAAGCCAATTATATTTACTAAATTCTCTTCACGTCGGTCACACAGTTCTTAAAATTTAAATCTTCTTTCGTTCACACTGAAGTTCTCTGATACTTCTCATTTACATTTCCATCTTGGGCCTTTTTTTAGACACTATATAGACAGGTTCTAAATAAAAGAAAGTTTATTCATCTGCCAAACTTCTGCAGTGACATAAATATTAACCAAAATTTCAATTTGTTCAAAACAGAAAGATTCCTGAAGCAATAGGTCACAAGTTTGGCGACAAGACTAATACTTTTCATGCCATGTTAGTAATACATCACCTCCAAGTTTAGCCTGCATAAAATTATTAAAATTTCAAAATCGTTTTCAAAGGCCACAGATTGGTACACATGACATAATAGGAAAAGGAACACGTATGATCCAAGTTAATGAACTCCAGTAAAACTATCCAAAATGTCAAATACCTCCACTATTTGGGACAGGTGAATGTGAGTAGAACTCATAGTCACCACCATCATCTATTAAGTTTTCACCATACTCATCATCGGAATCATAATCAGAGGACTCATCTTCAGACTGGATATCAGCAATATCTTCCCCATAAGAATCACTTCATGATATAGTAAAGGAATGAATTAATCGCATTATTTGAACCATATTATAAGTTCTAAATAATTCAACCATGTACTCGGTTTTTTCATCATACAAATAAAAAAATGGAATGCAAAAGCTCTTGTCGGTCTAATCAGTGAAACTGAATAAAAGGATACGACTCATATTCATCTCCAAGGTGACCTCCATCATCATCAGCAACAAAGTAACCAGAAACGTGAATGCTCCGAGAGCCAATTACGGAGAAAGCAACCAACTCATCATCTTCATCAAACTTAAGATCTAAGGAGCAAGTCTCAGTTCGATTTGGTAACAAGGAACACAAGATGATCGGATTGTTGTGTCCGACAGAACACTGAAGTACAGCCCTCTCTTTAGATGATCCAAGGCCTAAAGTTGCCTGTGTTATTACATAATATAGATTAACAACGGAATATACATGGAAACAAGAAAACGAAAACAAGGAACCCAAAAATTATTTGGACTAGCAATGCAGAGAACCAACAACCAATCCCCAATTATTAACCAATAGACGCTATGTAATTGTTTCAACTATTCAACTCCATAAAAAACAATGCAATCTATTAATGAGAAGGGTCAAAACCTGAAAAAATAACTACTGAACTCCATAAAAACGCTCTGGGTGTTTTTTTTCCAGGAGAATATACCTGAGTAATGTGAAGCTTTCCCCGAATATTGTCAGAATGATAAGGGTGTGGTTTTCCAGGTTTGACTTCAATTCCTGGTTTAAAAAAGCATATAATAACATATAGAGAATTTGAAGCTTAAACAGATACAAGTAATCCCTCGTTTGGTTACTGGAAAATGGAAGTGGATAATGAAACTATGGTTTAATTTCAAAAGCTTGATCCATACCCATTATCATAATTCAATTTCTGAAATCATTCCTCTACATTTTACCATAACCAACGGACGGAAAAAAGAAAAATAGTAATAACTAAAAGCGTGAAACTGAAAAGGTTTTGGACAATAACTAACCCCAGAAACCCATTTCTTCCGGCAGGAGAAAATATTGGAAACCAAAGCCAAAAGCAGCTGCTTCTATGACTGACCCTTGGGGTTTTCGCTATGCGATTCTATTAAACCCTAATGCCGTTTAGGGCTTGAAGGATTACATACATGTACAGGTAGTCATACGGTAAACGAATACAACCTGATAAGAAGAGGTGACACGTGGTTACGGAAGTCGATTTATACCGTGGATCGTCCTTCGCTCAAAGGCTCTGATGAGTTTTTGAACCGTCTGATCAGATTGATTATCGATTCCACCCCATTAACATTTTTTTCGTGTTTCTCACATCACATCACCCTAATATTTTGCGGTAATTCTACCTAAATATCATAAAATATATATATAAATACTGAAATAGTATTATTTGATTAATATTTATCGAAATATCTCTTTCATACAATATAACACAAAGACGCGTTTTGTAGGATGCGTTTTACAAAACAAGCTTTTACATTTTATTTAAAAAATAATTTTTAAAAAAACTACTCCTAAATATATGATTAAAACATATAGTAATATTCAATTAAAAAATTAAACATAAAAAATATAAAATTAAACATTAAAACATAATATAAAACCATTTAACATAATATAAAAACACAAAAACTAAATAACATTATACAGAAATATAAAAACATAATATTCAATTAAAAATCACAACATTAAACATAAAAACTAAATATAAAAAATATAGAATTTAATTAAAAACATAATATAAAAACTAACGATGTCTTCTTCGTAAATACATTTCACATGATTATGATTGTCTATTTCGAGCAGAATTTCTTTGTATAGATTGCTCTTCCTCTTCAATCTCATCACCTTCATCAATATCAACTTTATCTTGTTAGATTAGAGTCGATGTCGAAGATAGACCTTCTTAGAATAACGAAGTGGAGGTGTATGATAAGCATTTTTACCGTTTGTTGAGAACTGCGCAAATTGTGAAAAGAATTACATCGAAGATTGAGCTGCATAAGGTGGTGGTGCTGGTAAATGAGCAACACCCATTAGATACGATGCATGTGAAGAAACGTCAGGTTTATTCATATGCGTATAATATATTTCCGGGGCCTTCAAATGTAAACCAGAGGGCTCGAAATATAATCCTGCGAGCTCGACACGTAAATCGGCTGACTTGGGATGTAATTTGGGCTCAAAATCAATTCGGATGGTGGATGTTGTGGTGTTTTTTGTGGCATTGTTAAATACTGTTCAAAAGTGTTTGCTTTTCGTCTACGAGTCGGGGAATGATGATATTGTGTCGGTGAACATTTTTCTCGATGACAATGAATAGACCAACCTCGTGCGTCATCAGAGAGTATGAACGACTTCTTGTTTTCGTTGAACAATGAAATATATTCAGATAAAACCATGAAATTAATTTTTGAAATATAATAACGAACGGGAAGGTGTTCATATCGATGCTCCCACATCGCTATCCACTCGCTATGTTTCTCCCTCCAATCAACACCATGCTTGTCGTGTATGTCAAGTTTATACATATCGTCGAGATTCATGGGTGCCTCCAGAATAAACTGTGTGAAACCATATTGGTGAAGCACATGATCAATCGGATGTAACTCGACATCGACATAATATATAAGAGGCACAACCACAAGCCATACGTTCAACGAACCCATCAAATTAGGTGAGATGTAAGCCCTCGTTTTTCATTCATATAGAGCATCCATTGGAACTAGAAAAAATATATTTATTACTAAAATTTAAATGAGATTATAATTATAACAATAACAAAATAAAAAAATTAATAATTACAAACATACCTTGGAACCTGATTTTTCTCGATTGATAACCTGATATCTTGTAATTCATCAGGGATATCACAATGATTTTTTATTGATAACCTCCTATTTAATATAAAAAATATTTTAATTAATTGTATAGTAAGAAATTATTTATAAATTAATTACGTGTTAAAATTACCTTAGAATGAAAGGGCAAACAAATGACATTGTTATGATCTAAAAAATGCATGTGATATCACGTCCAAGATTAGAGAAGAAAGAGACGACCGCTAATATTAATTTTGGTATATCTAGCTACTCGACAAATTTCTCTAAAGATATGTGCTAAAACTGTCGATTCACAACTGAACGTGTCCTCTTCTTCAAAAGTAACGAGGTGACACAACCACATAACACGAACTTGATTGCGAGATTTCTCGAGTATCAACATCCCTTATACGAGTCGTAAAATATGTGTATGAGCAAATGATTTTGTCTCTCATCAAAACAATTTTCGTCCAACTCTCGAAAACTGTCTTGAAGCCATGTCAACGAGATTCGACCACCGTTGAACGAATTCAGAAACTTTATTAGATACTATATGCACAAATCATGCCAATTTTCCACCACCACACCAGTAAGAACACATCCATCTACCGAAAGTTCCAACTGCATTGAAACATCCTCTAGAGTAATGATGTACTCCCCACATGAAAGATGGAATGTGTGTGTCTCTGGTCTCCACCTCTCGATTAGTACAGAAATGAGGGTGGGTTGAAGTTTACAGCATCCAATTATTTGCTATATGCACCCAAATCCAACATAAGTTGAATAACTCCAAATACGAGCCGATGTGGGTATCTTAGTGTTATGAATTAAGGCTTCCAATATATAATCATTTTCCTAATTGATAAAAGTTAATATATTAAAATTTAAAATATTTAATAAAATATTAAAAAATTAAATAAACATAATTAAATATTTTTAACATAAAGCAAAATGAGATGAAATATGATTTTTATCCAATCGCAACATGTCTTCCATTTTTTAATTGCAACATTTTAAAAAATTGTAACTAAAATTAAGTAAAAATTTTAATACATTTATTAAAAGAATAAAAAAAATACTTAATACTTGAACTTTAAACATAACCTTTTGAACCTAGCATAACGAAATTAGAGAAAAGAGAAAGTAGATGATATGATTTTTGTTTTATATGATTTGAAAGATCAGATGGGGATTTATATAGAGGGGATGGGGAGGGGGAAAGACGGGAACGAGGGCGGGAAAAAATCTAGCAAAGACACTTTTTGTAGGAAGCGTATTTACCAAGTCAACGTAAAGTGCAATCTCCATGATGCGCTTCCCAAGTGGCTGGCAAGATGAGCATAAGACATGCCTTATAAAAAAAGTCTTTTTTAGGGGGTATCCACAAGTAGACAAATCGCTTACTAAAAAATGTGTTTTATTGACACGCTGTACGAAAGAGTGACATTCCAATAAATATTGGTTAAAAATGTTATTTCGATAATTATATATATATATATATATATTTCAGTAAAAAAACCATATTTTGTTTAAATCAGTTTCGACAATTGTTTTTGAATTAATGAATTTGTGGGTGTAATCAAACGATAAGTAAATGCAAACCTTTGGTTTTCTACTAAAACCATCACATTTTCAATTTTGAAAAAAAAATAATCTACAATTTATGAATTAAAATTAAGAAGTCAAACAAAAAGTTATTTATGACAATATCTGAAAATAAGGAAAATAATTAGAACAATTAATTATATCAAGATAATAGTTTCTTTTATTTAATCATTTATATCCTATTAATTGATCAATTAATTTTGATTATGATATAAGCCTATTATATGCACAATCCTCCTAAAATATTAAGATTCAAATTCCTAAGCTTGCTCGAGAGATTTGATATCTCATTTTATAGACTAATGGATTATCAATTTAGAATAAAGATTTTTATAAAACTGTAAAACATTATAACTTTTTTATATATAAATAAAAAGGAAACACAAAAAACTAGTACATTCTTGTAGCATTATTTGCAGGGATCCAATGATCATATGAATTTGACAGATTCTAATTAGATCCGATCTAATAAAAATAGATTTTTAAAAATTAGTATTCAACGACGTGCATGCTTTTGGTTTAGACTATAACAAGTTAAATCAAATGGTGGTAAAAGCAAAAAGTAAGGCAATCTCATCTCATCAAGCTGCTGAATCTTTTACAACCCTATATACCAAATCTTATTATAGTCTCACCATCAAGTATCACAACTGCATAAGAACTCTTATCACAAAGACCTACCTATATGATCAATCTTCTCCATTTCAAAACAACCATTACGAATACTTACTCGGCGATATTTACTCCAGCACTAGATGCCTCCATCAGCCCGTTCCGTATCTGCTCAGTGATATCTCTGACATGACCAGGTCCGTGTGGAATAAAAACAGTAGTGTTCTTGGAGGAGTTTCCGAGGTCCTTGATTGTATCAAAGTAATGTGTGATCATGATAAGATCCATCACTTCCTTGGCGGAGGTGCCTTCCACCTTGTCAGAGAAATTCAAGATGTTCTCTCTCATGCCATCCGTGATTGCCTGCCGCTGCCTGGCAACACCCAGGCCGCCCAGGTACTTGGATTCGGCTTCAGCTTCCGCTCTTTTAACTTGGAGCACCTTCTCGGCTTCCCCTTTGTAAACACTAGCGAGCTGAAGTCTTTGAGCTGTGAAACAAAACCATTGTGAAGTTATTTATTTCTTCAACTGATGAATGGATCTCAAGTTTGCATGGTCATCAAATTACTTCGCGTCATTTAAGTTCATAGAGAAGATGGACATGATTCTCCGAGCAATCGGACTCTAGGTAGTAATTTCCCATCTTTAACAAAATTTCATACGATTGTACCAAAATGAAAAGTACTAAAAGAGATAAATTGATGAAATAAGAACATATTTACTTGTACATGAAATTACCTGCATTTATCTCATTCATTGCCTTGCGCACAGCAGCATCCGGAATAATGTCAACCATCAGAATATGCTCAATGCTATATCCATATTCTCCCATCACCTGATACATGATTTCAGATTCTATATACGACATGAAAAGCCTCATAAAAGGTAGAGAGGAAGCACACAGATGATGGAGAAAGGGTCACTGAAATTCAGATGGATCATTACCCACTCTAGTGCAATTAGATACAAAACATTCATAACTCATCATGTAGTATTAAAAAAAAAATCCTATTTTACTATAGCAAAATGGTTGTTGTTCCCTATACATTCATATTCCAGGAAAATGCAAGCCAAAGAACAAGACCACAAAACAACCCTAATCTCTGCTCTCTATTATGAAGCAGAGTACGTATAGTGCTTCATTTACCATAAACTCTCCGACACTTGAATATTGGTCTTCTATGGTTTTGCAGCTCAACACTTGTCTCCTACATACACTTATACATATATATACATATGTATTTATGCACAGGGATGGTCTGAGGGAGGAGGGGGTGGGGGCAGGCAACCCCTAAAAATTTCAAATTCCTATATATTTTAGATATTTTCTTTGTATTTTCGGATGAAAATCTGTTTTCGACCCCTAAAATTTTATAAGTTCCCTCCATAAGAATTATATAAATTGCCCCGCCTAACTTAAAATCCCGTGTCTCTCCTGTTTATGCATGCCTTATGCACTTAATTTAAGCACACTAGAGTATTTTAGTGCAAGAGAGTACATGGTAGAAAATGAATGCACTATGGTTACCTTCTCAAGTTCCTCAAGAACAGCTTTAGCAACCTCGCCCTTTTGTTCAAAGAGCTCATCCAAATTCATTCTTGGAACTACAGCTCGAACCACTGGCACAGACAGGAAAAGACAAAAAAGGCAGATCGGTATGCATAAACAAAATAAATGGGGTTTCGGTAACATAATAAACAGGCTGATAAACATAAAGAAAGCCAAAGAAAACGACCATCAAACACATAAGCTTGGATCTGTTCCTTGGGATTTTGAAGCTCATAAAATGCATCATCAGCATGTTGCTTCATCACTCGGTACTGAATGGAACAAACCAATTGAACAAACACGTTGTCCTACAAAATGTAACATTATCAATCATTGAGCTTTTGCTAGTAGAACAAAAAAATCAATATACACATCCTTGAGTTATATAACAAAATCCTGTTCAATAACCAATAACGTTGAAATTGTCACCGATATCGGGCGATTTCGTGACAATTTCAGACCAACAAAACAAACAGAAAAATGGATAGGAACTTAATCAAACATATAAGCGTTAGGGGTGAAAAATAAATAACCTTGGTTTTGGTTTCGATGCGGACATCGAGGGAAGAGATTCTGGTAGAAAGGACGGCGGCGAGGCACTGTCCGGCGAAGGGGTTAAATAAGTGGAGGCCAGGCTCCGCCAACTTCTCGAAACGACCCCACCTCTCCACTACACCGATACTGGCCTGATCAACGCACGCACATAATCCGCAACACGTATTCCCCATTCCCCCACCCCTGGATCGATCAAATACGGATTGGAAAAAAGGAAAAATGGAGAGGAAGGCGGTGGAATTGTTTGCTTCTTGTGTGAAGTTGAAAAGTCGGAAAGCTTAATTATGGGCTACGGAAAGGAGATCGAGTGTGGACGGACTACGGGGTTTCTTCTTTTTTCCAATGACTTGTAAGCTTTAAAATTTATCATTTATTTTTTTTCACTCACACTATTAAAAAAATGAAAATAATCTCAGTGATAGAAAATATATTATAATATATATAAATTTAATTAATTTTTTTTGAATTTACTAAAATGACAAATAAATTCGCAACGCGATCTCAAAATCGCAACGCGAACTCCAATTTCGTAACCCAGTTTTCAATTTCGCAACACAAAAGTCAAATTCGCAACGCGATAGTCAAATTCGCAACGCGAAAGACAAATGTTTTTACGCGAAATGCAATATTAATTTCGCAACACAAATGTAAACAATATTATCGTAAATCATCTCTAACCTAAAACCCTAAATCACAACTCAGTCTCATCTCCATCTCTCACTCTCTAAGGCGACATCTGTCCCCATCTCCGACAAAATCCGTCTATCTCCATCTCTCAGAGCAACCCTCACAACCATTCACGGTCAGAAATGGAAAATCAACCACCGAGGGTTAGTTTTTTTAATCTCTTATTTTTATTTTGAAATTTTTGTATTATTATTAGATTTTTCTTATATTGATGATAAATTTACTGGTAATTTCAATATATATAGATTAACCATTTCACTGAGATTGCTTAGTAAATTCATTCGGTTGATGCTAATACTGCTAAATTGTTTAGTCTTTAACCCTGTGAAATTAGTATTTGTCTTTGTTTTATCTTTTTGTTGAAGAAACCCTAAATAGAAACACCAAATTCGCAACGTGAAAATGAATTCATTCGGTTGATGCTAATACTGTTAAACTGTTTAGTCTTTAACCCTGTGAAATTAATATTTATCTTTGTTTTTGTCTTTTTGTTGAAGAAACCCTAAATCGCAACACCAAATTCGCAACGCGAAAATGAAAATCGCAACGTGATTTTAGTTTCGTGTTTGCGATTTTCATTTTCGCGTTGCGATTTTCATTTTCGCGTTGCGATTTTAAGTTTTAGAAACTTCTTTTATTCTGCAAATTGAAACTTGAATGAATTGCATTACTTCAATAAAAAAACAAAGACAAATACTAACTTTACAGTGTTGCTAATTTAAGTTTCAAGAATAAACTACTACTCTTTATGTTGTCCTTGAACATGCACTAAACCTATATGTTGTCCTTTTAAATGTTTATATAAGTGTTTACTTCTAAAATGTTATCTGATGCATTTTGTGAACTATGATGAAATAATGACTTGGGTAAATATCGTGCTAGTTTGAAACACATTTGGCTTTGTTTTCACTGTTTAATATCATGTTTGTTTATAGTGTATAATTTGTAGTTTTTGGTATATCTAACTGTATGTTTATTGTTTTTGTAGAAATTTTTTTCAGCTGCATTGACCTTAAGGAATAAATTAAGCCTAGCCACTAAAATTGCGTCGACGCTTACACCTCTACAAAGAAAATTGTTTGATGATACTTCCTTCGGGCCATGGCTGAAAGTGTAACATACGGGTGGAGATGCTACGTTGACACATTTGTTTCTTCAGACCATGACTAACGATCTACCCGAGGGGATACAACGTGGTAATGAGGAGATATGGTTTCATTTTCCTCCGGCACATACTTGTTTTGGGCGGGAGGAGTTTTGCTTAATCACTGGTATACGCTTCGGACACGATGATGTAGGTCGGTACACTAGTCATATCGCCCGCCCATCATGGTTATCTCGGGTTTTTCCTGAGCTAGCAAAGTTGAAGCCGAGTTTACACGTCGATGACTTGAAGAGATTATTTGATAAAGATGGTTTTACTTGGATGGATGACCTTGATGTTGTCCGAGTATGCAATTTATTACTTTTGCATGCCGACTTTTTAGGCAAAGAGGGCAGACAACCTATCTCCGAGGACCTAATATTATTGGTAGATGACCTAAATGCATGGGACCTGTTTTCATGGGGTTCATATATATGGAAAGCTACCTGAAAGAAGTTGTCGTCTGCCTTTGAGGACCGAAAAAGTTTGTGGGGCGATAGTTCTAAATACACTTTGACAAGCTTTACTTGGGCCTTTAAGGTAAGAATTTCTATATAATGTTTCCAAAATTATAATTAATTATTTAACAATTACTAATGTTTGTGTATTATATTGTTTTGTAGATTTGGATATTTGAGGTTTTCCCCAGCATGCAGTCATATGCGATAAAATGATCAAATGATATTCCTAGGGCTATTACCTGAAAGAGGATCCGCATGTTGGATTAGGAAGATTTACTCCCATATACGACGATGAATGATGTAAGTTAACACACAAATAATACCATATATAAACAAGTTATTACTAGTACAAGTTTAACTTTGTTTGAGCTTTTATATTGTTAGGAGGCCAACTATCCATTATAGAGGCTGACACCCACAGAGGCTGAGCTTGCCACTGATTAGTGGCAAGCTAGTAAGCAGTTTTTTGATGGGACGGATGATGAGCACCCCCCACTTCGAGAGCCATCACCTGATCGGGCCTATTCTACAGCTCGACACCCAGAGCCATCACCTGATCGAGCCTCTTCTCTACCTCCACCATCACCTATTCCATCACATCATCGAGCCTCTTCTCCACCATCACCTCATAATAGGCGACCGAAAAAGAGGCCACGACATTTATCTCCCTGTTCTCCACCTCCACGGGATGAGTTAGGGGAATTACGTGATGAGATCGGTGCTTTACATCATGAGGTCGGTATTTTACGTGAAGATAATGGTGCATGGCGTGATGAGGTTCGATCTTTACGAGGTGAGGTGGATTTTTTACGCGATGATAATGGTGCGCTACGCGGTGATGTATCTACTTTACATGATGAGGTTGCCGCTCTATGCGAGATTGTTTCATTGTTATAGAATGAGGTTTATACTCTACGCAATGAGATAAATTTGTTTAATACTATACTAAAAATGCAAATAACCTTTTTTCGGCATTATTTATTTATTTATTTACTGATTTATGTATTAATTTATTTTCAGCGGCCCGATAAGGTAGATGCTTTACATCGGGTTTTTCTTGCACGACGGGGTTCACGCATCAGATGTCGTGCACGTGCCATTACGTCTCCGTTCACCCCACTAGTGCCAAGACTCCGTAAGAATAAGCTTGATGCACCTATCATCATTCAATAAGCGCCTCCTATCATTCAAAAGGCCCCTCTCATCATCGATGAAGCCCCTCTCACCGTTCAAGAGACCCATGTCATCGTTCAAGAGGTCCCGCCTGCCGTTCAAGAGCCCGATTCACATGGCGTCATATGTCGAAATATTGATAAACCCCCTCCCGTGCCCGATATGATGGATGCGAGTTGGTTTTCGTTTGTGTTACCGGCCAGTACCATTCCTCAGCAGGAGAGGGAAACACTACCAGACACAATTACGGATAATACCCTTTGGGTTAAGACCGCAATTGATTTTTATCTACATGAGCGGAGCAAGGGGTGTTATTCTGACCTATGCCAAATCGACGATGATATTCATTTATTTCTTGATCGGTCTTGGTGAGGTATTTTATTAGGGGTTGAAGATAATGGCTATCTCGATGGGGTGTTATATTCTTCTTATATTGCATTTTGATTAATTTTTTTTAAATTATTAATAAATTCACTAATATATTTATTTTTTATAAAACAACATATTTATGCATGGGTGTCACGTCTTCTAATAATAAGGAAATTGATGAAAAGAAATACTCGATGGACTATTATACCGACGTCTTTTCACGCGGCTCACTTGAAGGATCAGAGAGATGCTTCATATACGTTGGGTAATGGAAAAGCTAAACTTTATCCTGCGTGGTTGGTGTCGATAAGGTTAGTATTTATTTTTTGAATATTTTAAAGGTTTTCATAAATTTTATTTGATGTGCGCAATTATTTATGATTGCAGGTGTTTATCCCTGTTTTGGAACGTCGTCATTAGCTTCTCGTTGAGCTTCAGCTCCCATCCCTAAAGACAATGGTATATGATAGCATATTGAATTACATACCATTGTCTGATTTGAGAGATATTATTACAAAGGGATAGAGCGATCATTTGGCTAAATACTTGGATGCGATTGATTATTGGACAAACTCTGGAAACAAGAAGCCAAAGAAGTTCAAAATTACAATGATCAGAGACGAGACTGCGCCACAACAAATGCAGGGAGCCAGAGGGGATTGTGGTCCTCTCGTATGCTTGTTCTTGGAACGTTTGACGACAGGAAGTAAACAGTATCTACCTCCCACAGATAGAGATAAAAGTGCAGTAGGATTGTGGTTTCGGTATTATATGGCCAGATCGATATATACGAGACGCTGCCTACTTGCATCCGCGTGCTGAAAGTGCTGCAAGTGTTGTTAACATATATACTCTTTAATTGGTTTGAAAATATTTGGTTAAGTACCTAGAATTCAGTAATTTGTTGTTTGTTGGTTTTAGATGTGTAGAAAGTGTTGTTTGAGCAAATGTTTGGTTTCTGCAGGTTAATCCTGAAGTGAGCTGCGTGAAATTGATGTATTTGTGCATAAACAACAGCCTGGGGTACACTTTTTTTGCTTTGTTTAATTGAATTTTACATTGAAAGTTGATTATTGATGAGGAAATAAGATTTATTTTTTGATTAATTGATTTGTAAAAGTTGATTTGTTGTTTATAAAAAATTCAATATGCATTATGTTTGAAGGCAAAAAAGACCTGTTGAAGGTACAAATTCGCAACGCGAAAGTCAAATTCGCAATGCGCTTTTCGGTTTGCGAATTTGACTTTCGCTTTGCGAATTTGGCTATCGCAACGCTTATTTCGCGTTGCGAATTTGACTATCGCAACGCTTATTTCGTGTTGCGAATTTGACATTCGCGTTGATCGCAACATACAACATCAAGTTATATACAACATCAAACACATTCCAAGCTATAAATACAAGCTAAGGACACTTGAAGAAGCAAGAGAACAACTATCCAATCAATCAAACACAAGAGAAAATCCCAACATGATAACAACTAAACAGATCATAGCAATGTTCAAACTCAAGTTACTAATGAATGTCTAACTAAAAATGTATGCATTCACACATAAAATACACATAATACAACGCTTGCATTTAAAAATCACCTAAGTTAATAAGTCCCAAAAGGTGAAGCCGGTTGTGATTGGGATTTTGATTTCCTTTTGCTTGGCACCATATGAGCTTTGGATTTTGATGAGGATCCATTTTTTGGTAGAGGAAAAGATGATTGTGATGGCACTGGTGATCCACAGGTCAACCTTGTATGACCACTTTCTTTGCACCGACTACATGTCGATATCCTCTTCTCTTCACCCTTAGACGGTATACGATCGTGATTTTTTGGTCGGCCAGGTAGCCTGC